CGCGGCCAGTCGGCGCCCGACAAAAAAACACCTGCGTTTCATTTTCACCGCTTCTCTTACGCCACCACTCTCTATTATGTTTACTTTTTTTCAATTTCCCTACTTGAAAGGCAATCTTTTGGATTTGCAGGATCTCCCAGTTCTCCAGAAAAAAAGTTCGAACCCATAATATTTGCCTTCCACGATTTCCACTTCCCCAGTTATCAGAAAGTGAAAAGCCTGTAACCAAAACATCAGTCAGCATTGTTTACATAAATTTTTCATAAAATCCATCAATGTTGAAACCGTTTAAAAATCTGTCATGTGACTCAATGACTGCTTCGACCTATCGGATATTTTTTTTTGAAAATTTTAGATTTTTTTTTTTCACTTTTTCCTTTTCTCTTCTCTTAACTTCTGCTTGGGCCAAAGACGGGCCTAAACAGACCGGGTCATAGCACATGAAGATTACTGTAAGAGGAGATTTCTTGAAACTGCATCTTGCCTATGAGAAAAGCAAAGAGCCATAGTTTTCAAGTTATTTTTATAGTTTTGTGGTCCGCTTATTTTGCTCTCGTAGAATTTAGACTTCTCAAGCTTTTTTTATAGACGAGGTCCAGTTTTAGAAACAGTATCACTTCTTAGTACTCCTAAAGTCCTATTATTTCCACTTTGTTGGCTCTGGCCCTTCTCAAGTTTTAGATTTTTCCCGTTCTTCCATGATTCTGTAAATTTCAGATCTTGAAAAACTCTAATTTTTGCTTATTATAACTTCTAAGCTTTTTTTTCGTAAGCCTAAATTTTAAAGTTTTCTGAAAATTTAACTGTGAGAGTTATGTATTTTCGATTATCTGCTCTCTAGAATCCAAGATTTCTCAAAGATTTGCAAATTTCAAAATTCAATTTTTTCGGGAGTTTTTGGACCTAACTGTATGAGTCACTGTTGTTTTGTGAAACATGCGCAAAAAGCAATTTATTTCGTCACGGAATGGAAAAAAAATCGTTCGAGAAAATTCCGATAATCTTTTCTGTTTTTTTCTTTGTTGAGATTATAGATATTTGAATGTTTTGAGTCCTAACTATCATACTTGCAAAATCTCGGGCCGGCCCGGCCCGCGGGTCGGCCCGTCGAGAATTTCGGCGGGCCGGGCCGGGCCGATGAAGTGCCGGGCCGGGGTACTTACAGACGTTGATTTTTTTGAATTTCGAATTTTTTTCAAAAATTTTAACAAAAACGACCGATTTTTTGACTACTTTCTACTTTCTAATTATGGTTAATAATGTACCCTTTTTCTTTTTAATTCAAAAAAATTACCTAAATCTTCATTGAAATTTTTCAACTGCGGTAGGCGGG